TCCAATGTTACCGTCCCTGCTTGACGCTATGAATGACGCAAAATCACGCACAACAACGGTATTTATCGGAATTATGTCTCCCCCAGAATGGAGGGAGACATATTGTTTTTGGCACGGTTCCCGTCGGCGTCGGCGTCGGCGTCGGCGTCGGCGTTCCCACCGTTTCCGTCCATAACTCAGAAACCGTTTAATATTTTTTCGCGAAACTTTGTATACACATTAACCCAGCACTGAAGTGGTGCCTTTTGCTATTTAGAGATTTTTGACATTTTTATTTTTTCTCGTTTCCATGGAGATAACTTGAACGTAGACTCTAAATGGGGGTAAGCTTGGTTTCCGGACCATAACTCGGAAACCGTTTAATATTTTTTCGCGAAACTTTGTATACACATTAACCCAGCACTGAAGTGGTGCCTTTTGCTATTTAGAGATTTTTGACATTTTTATTTTTTCTTGTTTCCATGGAGATAAGTTGAACATAGGCTCTGAATGGGGGTAAGCTTTGTTTCCTGACCATAACTCAGAAACCGTTTAATATTTTTTCGCGAAAATTTGTATACACATTAACCCAGCACTGAAGTGGTGCCTTTTGCTATTTAGAGATTTTTGACATTTTTATTTTTTCTCGTTTCCATGGAGATAACTTGAACATAGACTCTAAATGGGGGTAAGCTTGGTTTCCGGACCATAACTCGGAAACCGTTTAATATTTTTTCGCGAAACTTTGTATACACATTAACCCAGCACTGAAGTGGTGCCTTTTGCTATTTAGAGATTTTTGACATTTTTATTTTTTCTCGTTTCCATGGAGATAACTTGAACATAGACTCTGAATGGGGGGTAAGCTTTGTTTCCGGACCATAACTCAAAAACTGTTCAATATTATTTCATGAAGTTGTAACATATTAACCAAGTCCTGAAGTGGTGCTTCTTGCTATTTAGAAGTTTTTCACATTTTATTTTTTCTTGTTTATGGAGACAAGTTTAACTTAGACTCTGTATTGGGATGGGCTTTGTTCAAGAACTAAACTCAACACCCCTTCAATATTTCTGTGTCTTTTGCTTATAATGAAATTTAAGAATTTGATCTTTTCAATATTATTGAATTCAAAGCAATTCTAGAATTAGAATATTGTGAATTATGTCTCCCCCAGAATGGAGGGAGACATATTGTTTTTGGCACTGTTCCCGTCGGCGTCGGCGTCGGTGTCGGCGTTCCCACCGTTTCCGGACCATAACTCAGAAACCGTTTAATATTTTTTCGCGAAACTTTGTATACACGTTAACCCAGCACTGAAGTGGTGCCTTTTGCTATTTAGAGATTTTTGACATTTTTATTTTTTCTCGTTTCCATGGAGATAACTTGAACATAGACTCTGAATGGGGCTAAGCTTGGTTTCCGGACCATAACTCGGAAACCGTTTAATATTTTTTCGCGAAACTTTGTATACACATTAACCCAGCACTGAAGTGGTGCCTTTTGCTATTTAGAGATTTTTGACATTTTTATTTTTTCTTGTTTCCATGGAGATAAGTTGAACATAGGCTCTGAATGGGGGTAAGCTTTGTTTCCTGACCATAATTCAGAAACCGTTTAATATTTTTTCGCGAAACTTTGTATACACATTAACCCAGCACTGAAGTGGTGCCTTTTGCTATTACAGTTTCCATGACATCACATATGTCATTGTGTAGAAGACCTGCAGAGTCAGATACACGGGCAATTACATCACAGAGACTTTCCTTTGTGCCATATAACATTGCTACATCATTTCTGATATGTTGGGGATATTAATATATTTGTGTCCAAACTTTATTAGTACTTTAAGTGGATTTTCTACAAATACTTCAGTAACAAGAAAACTGTGCTACTTAGATGACTACACTGTCAGGTGGGTAAATGATTGAGGGATTAGTGGTGTTGATTAGACGCTGAAGTGGTGCCCATTAGTTGTTTGAAATTTCTAGGAGTTCTATTTTTGTCTCTGTTATTTAGTAATGGAGGGTGGGAATGAAGAGATGGGGTTTAACGTGAAGTAAACGAATGAATGGGGGTTAGGGGAGTGGGGGGAGACATATGTTTTTACGAGTAAAAACACTTTCTAGTTTCTCTTGGTGTTACAATGAAAAACATAAAAGCAAATAACAGACCATAGATCGTCAGAATGTTTCTGGTTATACTTATATGTCACATTAATGTATTTACGATCCCTGAATCAACGAAAGTCCTCTCGTAAAATCCCGCGTACTGTTGTCAGTGAACACGCCATTTAGTAAAAGTCGGTCACCGGTATTGATGTCATACGTCAACATTGTTGTACATATTTGGTATTTTCTTTGAAGTGAAGGTCGGTTAATGAAAGTGCACACGAGCATTGTATACTGCTGATTAGTTTCTATATGAGTTATGATGTAGATTTTGCATATTTCTTCTCACACTTATTTCACTATGGATACTTGTCTACCAACCCTCATGGTGCCTGGCCGTCAGCTGGCTATGTACATCGCTCAGTGCCGCACTGTGATGACGTCGCGGTTATAAAGGCGTATACATTGTATCAAAGTCAAAGTCAAAATTAGTTTATTTGTCTGTAGGCCTTTGACCCATATACAAGAAATGCAATGCCAATAATACAATGTAAAGCACATTACATGGATTTTACGAATTCATGTCTTTTTTGTATGCATAATATACATAATATTGCAGACGTTTTAATAACTCGCCCTGAGTTGTACACAATCATTTTTTTAATTTATATATAGTTGGAAATTTACAATACAATTCTGGCAAATAAATTTTACGCAGTTCTGTATAATGTTTACAGATCAATACGAAATGATATTCATCTTTGAACAGACATATTGCAAACAGGACACATACGTGAACATGATTCAATAGATTGACATCTACCCTCATTCTGTCGTAAAGGTAAAACATTATATCTTAACTTAATAAAATCACTGCGTACGTTTGCTATTGTAAATACTCAAATATCTTTCAGGTTCAAACAGTGTTTTTATATTCTTTATACATCACATATCGGGTATTACTGTTGAGTGTTGACATCCAGTTTGGACGGTATTTATCTACAAGACACGTTTTAAATTCCCCAATGAAAGCTATATTGTCCCCAACAGACTGGTTTAACCATACAAATCCCAAACCATGCGAAAATAAAATGTTACGAACAGATGCTACCCAAGTATTATGACCAATCAACATGTTACGTACTTTTCTTGGGATACGCCTTTCATGCATTCTGGTTAGTTTTAACCAATACTTTATAATGCGGGCCTGCGCATTGACATAGAGCGGGTAGCGACAACATTCACCATAGACAATGGCATTTAGTGTTTGTTTTCCCACCATTAAAAACTTTTACATGCCAAAAGATAAACTCGTTCTCATTGATCATACCGCTGGAAACCCCATACTTCTGACCCATATAAAAGTATTGGTAATACCTGTGTGTCAAATATTTGAAAATATACTTTTGGGTCAATAATTCCTATTTTATTCAAATTTTTATTTATTTCCATCAAAGCCCGTTTTCCACGATTTGCTAGATCAGCAATACACTTTTTCATCTTGAAAATTGAAAAAAATATCACACCTAAGTACTTATAACTGTTAACTATGGGCAGGGGGGTGTCTTTGTATGGCCATTTCTCCTTGGCAGATAGGGTGCCTCCCCTTCTGAAAACAACTACGTTTGATTTTTGTATGTTACAGTTAATCCCCATGTATCTGAAAAAAACCCAAGGATGTTAAGCTGAGTCTGTAAACCCGCAACAGATTCTGCGACAATGATGACGTCATCTGCAAATAACAGCAACAAAATTTCATAAATATCTGGAAATAATTGAATGCCATGTTTACCGTTTTCATTTATAGCTTTTGAAAGTTCCCCTATAAATAAAGAAAATAGCAAAAGGCTAAGTATGCAACCTTGGCGTACACCACCTTGATGCATGAGAGACATTTCTGATGGCATATGATCCGATTAAACCCTGTCGTTTACATGCAAAGACTCCACTAGATGAAAAGCGTCAACTCCAGCGATAAAATAATTCGTTTACATTTGAACCCTGCTCAGATATAAAGATAAATTCTCCGTCGGCGTTCCCAGACACTTGACCGTTGAGAATGTATATATTAAAAGTATAACACAAATTAAGTAATATTCTTCCATATCTGTTGGTAAGATTGTCACTTGACTTGCGATGTTTAAGTGGTATCGGCTCCTCTTGAGGAAAAAACAGTCAAGTCAGATAAATTCTCAGGCTGGTTGTCCAACTTTGTCCAACTCTGGCGTTCAGATCTCCGGTGATAATCACGTGACAGTCAGCTAGGATATCTGGGTTCTCAACCAGCCACTCTTTAAGGAGTTCAAGACCAATACCTTTTCCACTTGATGTAGAGTATGTGGACCCTCTGGTGTTACCTACATACCTATCAAGAAAATATCCTTTTTGCTTTGCAGTACCCGTTTAGAAATTCTCAGAGCAACAGTATCTTTGATTATCTTTCCAACAGTATCTAAAGTCAACAAATCCAAAAGATCTATGCACTGCATAGCTATTGATAAATGTGCTGGTAAATATAATATGTAGGACATTTATTTATGCTTGTATATGACATAACAACAGTTATTTATGCTTTTATATACGTTATTTAGTCACATTTACAAGAAATTATAGGTATGATTTCTGCAAAATGTTTGTTTTTGGTATTGCAAGCACACTTATAACAGTTGTCTTTACGTTTCAGCTTTCACCTCCAAAGATTCAACCGAAGGTGGTCAGAGAGCATTATGTCTTCCTTTCGTCAATCTTCTTTGCTTCTGTTGGTGGGCGTTGGCGCCTTTTCAATGCTCTTCTTTGAACACGCAGTCCTGCCTCACTTCTCATACAAGGTAGTTGATGACAGCAGGACTGTCTCGTTCAGGTCCAGCCCCAGTCCTGGTAAAACCTTAGTGTACAGATTCAACGGAAGAGAGATGCAACGGCTTGACGAGTTCTGCACATGGACTGTCCACGTTGACTGTGTTCCTCTCAAGACACCATCGGGAGAGACGCCGATCCATATACACGACATCGTGGTTGATAAGTATGTATCAAAAACCCTCAAGCAGACGGGAGCGTGGGAACCTGTAAACATCAATCTCGTTCTGTCAGAATTAAAAAAAGACCCTGAACTTGGCTTCATGGATCTAGGATCTCATGTTGGCGCCTTCTCTCTGTCTGTGGCCAAGTTCGGGAGGAAGGTGGTATCTGTGGATCCGCTCATAGAGAATGTCCAGAGACTGTGTAAGTCTATTCAGAAAGGTGGCTTCACAGACAGGATGACCATCTTATTCAATCCCCTTGGAGCAAACCACTCCTTCGTGAATTTCAAGCCTGATGTTGGCAACGTTGGAGGGACAAGCGTTGTGGCATCGTCTGGGTCTCCTTCTAAATCCCCCTGTGAGGAATCAGCTGACTCGTATACTATCACTCTAGATGATACATTACCCTACCTGCCATTCAAGAAGGCCGTATTAAAAATGGACATACAAGAGTATGAATATTTTGTTCTCAGCGGTTCAAAAAGGTTTTTCAAAGAGATAGAAGTTCCTGCAATTATGATGGAATGGGTACTTATGAAAACAGACATTAATGGGAAAAACCTGGTAGATTTGTTATTAGGATTGCAGTATTCTGCATATGCACCAAGTATCGGGGGTCAGAAATTAGACCCAAATCAGTACAAAAGCTGGCCATATGACGTAATATGGAAGAAGTAGGAACCGAGTCGTTGGAACGTTGTTGACATTGAGGGTGTATATAATCATGTTTTCACGAAGCATTGGCCGTTGGCCCATTACATGTTGCTACAGTGCTGCAGCCTCTCTTTACATTTCTTTTCTAAAATTATTAGCACAGAAAATAACACACTGCCATATTTTGTATAGTATTCGAATTGTTCTGAGACAATAAAATTTTGAAATAGTGTAAACTGAGAAATATATAATACCTTTGGGGGACATAGAATTGCCGCAGGGATATGCACTACATATCACTATAAAATGGTATTCACTTTCAACATATCCGTAGCTACACATCACATGTTCTTTGGTTTACTGGCATGCTGACGTATCTACCAGTTACTCTTTTAGACGATGTGAGTCACACCATAACCTTTGCCAAAGCCACACAAAACTTATTTATAGTGATACAGCCAATAAATATGGGTGCAATCGTTGTCTGATACGTAGCTTGAAGAGATTTCCTATGATAATTGATTTATTTCGCCTCTTTAAATTACTTGAATGTTACTTAAAAGTAGATCATAACAATAATCGTCTGAGGAACTCGTTTTTTGTATCGAGATTAGATATGTTTTTCAGGTACAGGTACAAAACAATTTATCTATTTTAACTATGAGCCTGAATTTCTGTTTGAAGAAAATCACCTTGCAACCATGTAATTTTTGTGGTAGGGAATTTTTATTCAAATAGTCTAAAGCATTTCAAGACTTTTAAGGGATATGTTTTGTTTATAAAATCACAGCAAATTGTTGAATGCAAAACCTCAACGCCAGAAGTAATCAGTGTCGGTAATCTGCCGAGACACATTCCATTGGATCGGAAAGACAAAATAGGGGTTGTGATTATATGAAGGGATCATTGAAAATCACTGCAGTAGTCAACATTATTTATATTTTGTCATTACATACTCGCCACTGTAACCCAAATGTTCATTTGTAAATGGGACAAAAAGCGTTCAATAAATATATTTTTGAAGCAAACCACCAATTGTGAGGACAATTCTCTTCCTGATTTATCACCTTATTTCAAGCATCTTTGTTCAATGTGTTTATTGAAAGCATTATTAATAACGCATGATAAAGCGAGGTTAGGGCGCGACACTTATGGAATTGAGGTGTATTCTTCAAGTAGTATGTATGCTGGATAAGGGCCTGAACGATTATCAGCTTCAAAAAGTAATATTTATGTCTCCTGTTGGTCTCAGGTTAAACCTAAGTGAAAATGAACAGTAACATGCGATCAATAAAAGAAATTCACATTTGTGAAAAGGTCATACCGGGGATATACCAAGTTGGTCAATAACTTAAAGTACAAACGCACCCTACCGAGAGAACAACAAACAATGGGTCAACTGAAGTGAGAAAGCGAGACAACACCCGGGAGCGGGTGTTTTGCGGTGAGATAGCGAGAAGCCAACTGGGTAGGTGTACTGCAGTGAGATAGCGGGAAGCCAACATGGACCGGGTGTACTGCAGTGAGATAGCGAGAGGCCAACAGGGAGTGAGTGTACTGCATAGAGATAGCGAGAGGCCAGGAGGGAGTGGGTGTACTGCAGTAAGATAGCGAGACACCAACAGGGAGTGTGTGTAATGCAGTGAGATAGCGAGAGGCCAACAGGGAGTGGGTGTACTGCAGTGAGATAGCGAGAGACCAACAGGGAGTAGGTGTACTGCAGTAAGAAAGCGGGAGGCCACCTGGGAGTAGGTGTACTGCAGTGAGATAGCGAGAGACCAACAGGGAGTAGGTGTACTGCAGTGAGATAGCGAGAGACCAACAGGGAGTGGGTGTACTGCAGTGAGATAGAGAGGGAGCACGAGGGAGTGGGTGTACTGCAGTGAGATAGCGAGAGGCCACCAGGGAGTGGGTGTACTGCAGTGAGATAGCGAGAGACCAACAGGGAGTGGGTGTACTGCAGTGAGATAGAGAGGGAGCACGAGGGAGTGGGTGTACTGCAGTGAGATAGCGAGAGGCCACCAGGGAGTGGGTGTACTGCAGTGAGATAGCGAGAGACCAACAGGGAGTGGGTGTATTGCGGTGAGATAGCGAGAGGCCACCAGGGAGTGGGTGTACTGCAGTGAGATAGCGAGAGGCCACCAGGGAGTGGGTGTACTGCAGTGAGATAGCGAGAGACCAACAGGGAGTGGGTGTACTGCAGTGAGATACCGGGAGGCCAACAGGGAGTAGGTGTACTGCAGTAAGAAAGCGGGAGGCCACCTGGGAGTTGGTGTACTGCAGTGAGATAGCGAGAGACCAACAGGGAGTGGGTGTAGTGCAGTGAGATAGCGAGAGGCCAACAGGGAGTGGGTGTAGTGCAGTGAGATAGCGAGAGACCAACAGGGAGCTGGTGTACTGCAGTAAGAAAGCGGGAGGCCACCTGGGAGTTGGTGTACTGCTTTGAGATAGCGAGAGACCAACAGGGAGTAGGTGTACTGCAGTGAGATAGCGAGAGGCCAACAGGGAGTGGGTGTAGTGCAGTGAGATAGCGAGAGGCCAACACGAAGTGGGTGTACTGCAGTGAGATAGCGAGAGACCAACAGGGAGTAGGTGTACTGCAGTAAGAAAGCGGGAGGCCACCTGGGAGTTGGTGTACTGCAGTGAGATAGCGAGAGACCAACAGGGAGTGGGTGTAGGGCTCTAAGATAGCGGGAGGCCAACAGGGAGTGCATGTACTGCAGTGAGATAGCGAGAGACCAACAGGGAGTTGGTGTAGTGCAGTGAGATAGCGAGAGGCCAACAGGGAGTGTGTGTACTGCAGTGAGATAGTGAGAGACCAACAGGGAGTAGGTGTACTGCAGTAAGAAAGCGGGAGGCCAGCTGGGAGTTGGTGTACTGCAGTGAGATAGCGAGAGGCCAACAGAGAGTGGGTGTAGTACAGTGAGATAGCGAGAGGCCAACAGGGAGTGGGTGTAGTGCAGTGAGATAGCGGGAGGCCACCAGGGAGTGGATGTAGTGCAGTGAGATAGCGAGAGGCCAACAGGGAGTGGGTGTACTGCAGTGAGATAGCGAGAGGCCAACAGGGAGTGGGTGTACTGCAGTGAGATAGCGGGAGGCCAACAGGGAGTGGGTGTAGTACAGTGAGATAGCGAGAGGCCAACAGGGAGTGGGTGTAGTGCACTGAGATATCGAGAGGCCACCAGGGAGTGAGTGTAGTGCAGTGAGATAGCGAGAGGCCAACAGGGAGTGGGTGTACTGCAGTGAGATAGCGGGAGGCCAACAGGGAGTGGGTGTAGTGCATAGAGATAGCGGGAGGCCAAAAGGGAGCGGGTGTACTGCAGTGAGATAGCGAGAGGCCACCAAGGAGTGGGTGTAGTGCAGTGAGATAGCGAGAGGCCAACAGGGAGTGGGTGTAGTGCAGTGAGATAGCGGGAGGCCAACAGGGAGTGGGTGTAGTGCGGTGAGATAGCGAGAGGCCAACAGGGAGTAGGTGTACTGCAGTGAGATAGCGAGAGGCCAACAGGGAGTGGGTGTAGTGCAGTGAGATAGCGGGAGGCCAACATGGAGTGGGTGTACTGCAGTAAGATAGCGAGAGGCCACCAGGGAGTGGGTGTACTGCAGTGAGATAGCTAGAGGCCACCAGGGAGTGGGTGTACTACAGTGAGATAGCGAGAGGCCAACAGGGAGTGGGTGTACTACAGTGAGATAGCGAGAGGCCAACAGGGAGTGGGTGTAGTGCAGTGAGATAGCGAGAGGCCACCAGGGAGTGGGTGTACTGCAGTGAGATAGCTAGAGGCCAACAGGGAGTGGGTGTAGTGCAGTGAGATAGCGGGAGGCCAACATGGAGTGGGTGTACTGCAGTAAGATAGCGAGAGGCCAACAGGGAGTGGGTGTAGTGCAGTGAGATAGCGGGAGGCCACCAGGGAGTGGGTGTAGTGCAGTGAGATAGCGAGAGGCCAACAGGGAGTGGGTGTACTGCAGTGAGATAGCGAGAGGCCACCAGGGAGTGGGTGTACTGCAGTGAGATAGCGAGAGTCCAACAGGGAGTGGGTGTAGTGCAGTGAGATAGCGAGAGGCCAACAGGGAGTGGGTGTACTGCAGTGAGATAGCGAGAGGCCAACAGGGAGTGGGTGTAGTGCAGTGAGATAGCGAGAGGCCAACAGGGAGTGGGTGTAGTGCAGTGAGATAGCGAGAGGCCAACAGGGAGTGGGTGTACTGCGGTGAGATAGCGAGAGGCCAACATGGAGTGGGTGTAGTGCAGTGAGATAGCGAGAGGCCAACAGGGAGTGGGTGTACTGCAGTTAGATAGCAAGAGGCCAACAGGGAGTGGGTGTACTGCAGTGAGATAGCGAGAGGCCAGCAGGGAGTTGGTGTACTGCAGTGAGATAGCGAGAGGCCACCAGGGAGTGCGTGTACTGCAGTGAGATAGCGAGAGGCCAACAGGGAGTGGGTGTACTGCAGTGAGATAGCGAGAGACCAACAGGGAGTAGGTGTACTGCAGTAAGAAAGCGGGAGGCCAGCTGGGAGTTGGTGTACTGCAGTGAGATAGCGAGAGACCAACAGGGAGTGGGTGTAGTGCAGTGAGATAGCGAGAGGCCAGCAGGGAGTTGGTGTACTGCAGTGAGATAGCGAGAGGCCAACAGGGAGTGGGTGTAGTGCAGTGAGATAGCGAGAGGCCACCAGGGAGTGCGTGTACTGCAGTGAGATAGCGAGAGGCCAACAGGGAGTGGGTGTAGTGCAGTGAGATAGCGAGAGGCCAGCAGGGAGTGGGTGTACTGCAGTGAGATAGTGGGAGGCCAAAAGGGAGTGGGTGTAGTGCAGTGAGATAGCTAGAGGCCAACAGGGAGTGGGTGTAGTGCAGTGAGATAGCGAGAGGCCAACAGGGAGTGGGTGCAATGCAGTGAGATAGCGAGAGCCCAACAGGGAGTGGGTGTACTACAGTGAGATAGCCAGATGCCACCAAGGAGTGGGTGTAGTGCAGTGAGATAGCGAGAGGCCAACAGGGAGTGGGTGTACTGCAGTGAGATAGCGAGAGTCCAACA